GATTGCCCATTATTCCATAACCCATGACCTTCATGACCTCCTCCCTTCTTAAAGGCCCCACTCAGTCCTTCTCTTACTTTTATCTTTAAACATGGGCTTTGGTAGGAACATTCAAATCATGGTAGTCATACCCTCCTGATCATGGCAGCTTTCCACTCCTACTTAGCTCATGACATCTTGAACAGGATCTTGGGGGCAGATTTTGTTTCAACATCAGAATGTTTCTCTTTTAATTCTGTCCTTTAAAAAAAAAAACAATTGGAAGAATTCAACAGTAGAAGTATTTACAAAGATAATACTCAAACTTTAGCTTTGGAGAGGCTAGGGCTAAAGAGAATTACAAATAATGTGCTCAGAATCGAAATAACCATTATAGGAGAAAAATGAAGACTACAACTCTCCAGATTCTGTTTCAATCTCAATCTCAGAATAGTTCTCTTTTTTTCTCCTTTAAAAGAAAGAACAATTGGAAGAGTTCAACAGTAGAAGTAATTACTTAGAGAACTTTATCAGCAGAAGACCTGGTTTCTCTGAAGTTTAGACCCTATGGATTATAAAGTCCAGGTTCTATGGTTCTTAGAATTTTTCCCTTCTTGATGCAGTGTTATAAAGAGGAAGACTGTCTTTGAGTCCGATACTCCATAACAGAATTAGCAAGACCCCATTTCAAGCAGACCTTCTGAAAGTACAAATAAAACTTTAAAAAACAATCTCAATATTTTATCAAGACCAAATCCATCTCAACACATGAAGCCTTCAAAATACATGTAAAAACTATGATTCAATAAATGTACATGGACACAAATCAGAATATAAAGGCTTTTGTTCCTGCTACCCACTCTCCCTGATACCAATTTAGAATAGCTAGAAGTCTTTGACCCTCATGGATTAAAAATAACTTTTCTTTCAGATTTTGTTCAGAGAGAAGCTAGATTAAGATAGATCAAGTAAGTAGTTTTGTTGCAAGAAATTTTACTTTTTGAAACAGTCATCAAAAGTTTTGTTGTAAAATTAAAACTTTAAAGGGTTCAAGACAAAAAAGAAAAGTTACAAAGATGATACTCATACTTACTCATTGCTTCTCATTATTTTAATTAAGAATAATAGGTTAAGCCGGACACTAGTGGCTCACACCTGTGATGCTAACTACTCAGGAGGCTGAGATCTGAGGATCAGGTTCAAAGTCAGCCTGGGCAGGAAAGTCCATGAGACTCTTATCTCCAATTGGCCACCAGAAAACTGGAAGTAGTGCTGTGGCTCAAGTGGTAGATCTCTCACCTTGAGCTCTTCAGCTCAAGGACAGCATCCAGGCCCAGAGTTCAATCCCTACAACTGACCAAAAAAAAGTTTATTAAGAAATACCAACATTCATTTTTATGCTAATCATTGGGAAATTTTTGGAATATTTAACTAATAGAATTATATAGATGAAGTCAGCTCCTGAGACTTTTGGAATCAGTATGGGGAGAAAATTTAGAAGCTAAAGTAAATCATATATTATTTATGTTTATGCTGTTCTAGACTCAATGCTTTAGTAATACCTGCAAACACAGCTGAAGGTAAGTTAAGCAAGTTGAGTCTAGGTAAGGTAAAGGTTAGAATGTGAAGGTGAAAGGCATTATAAATGGCACAGTCTGGCTCTGGCTTGAACTGCTGCTTTGACCCCTACAATCCCCATCTTTGTGTGAGTGTGTGTATATGTGTATGTTTTCTCTAACATAAGGCTATGGAAAACCACCTCAGTCTGGTTTTGCGAGGTTTTATATGTAAAACATTTGGCACACAGCCTGGAAAATAATGTCTTCTTAAGGAAAATAATCTATAACGTAGTATGTTAAAATAAAAATCACAGTACAATTGGCACATTTCTGATTTTAAGTGATTAAATTGTGGACTAGGAAGACTGAAAGATAAGAATAATAATTATTATTCACAGACCTTACTGTGAGCCAAATATATGGCCAGATTCATCATTACTAACTTCCACATTGTATCTGGTGTCATTAGCTCTCTTCTATAAAGGAGTAAAGGATCAGGTCAAAGGGTGGCAGTGACTCAAACCCTGTGTCTGTTCACTCTGCCACGTTGCTTCCAATCAACTATAAATAAAACTAAAATGGTTTAAACGATGTTGCTAAGTTCCTAACTTCTGTATCACTGCTGTCAGATGACCTGGAACTCCGGTTTGAATCTTCTCCCAGATGGAGATCTTCCTCTCTGCAGCAGCACATTCTACTTCAACCTGCTGAATGCTTCCAAAGCTCTCTTTTACGGTGGCTCAGTGGTAGAGCGCTTGCCTTGCATGCATGAGGCCCTGGGTTCAATTCCTCAGTACCACATAAGTAAAAAAGAAAAAAACTGGAAGTGGCACTGTGGCTCAAGTGGTAGAGCGCTAGCCTTGAGCTGAAGAACTAAGGGACAGCGTCCAGGCCCAGAGTTCAGGACCTACGACTGGACCAAAAAAAAAAAAACCAAAAAAAAAACAAATAAACAGTGACTTTAGTAAAATGTGTTTCTATGTTGATGGCAGAAATAAAAGAAGAGATGCTTTTTGTTTCAGTAGGATTTTGAGATTAACTTACATTCCTGGGTTGGCATCACAGGTCTTGGAGAGACCCTGATCAGAAAGCATCCACTGGATTGAATGAAATCAAGACAGAAAACACCACCACTATCTACCCCCTGTAAAATCACAACCTTCCTGGTTTAGAGATACTGCAGTTTCCTCAAAAAATGTGTCACGAGACATAGAGGAACTTTTCAACACTAGAGGAACGGATGAAGATGTCAGCGAGAGGTCAGGAAAATTCAGAAGAGTTGCTCACTAAAATGGTAACATCATGGTTTGAAGAAGACACTTTGCTCATTTTGGATAAAGCAATGTAAGTGACAAAAATATCATGTTCACTTTAAGTTACCAAAGTATAACCAGTGAGAATTGTTATCATCATATACTTAAAAAACAATTTAATGCTAAATACATTAGCATCCATATATATATATATATATATATATATATATAAAAAATCAGGAATATCTCTTCCTCTCTCATACATACACATATGCATACTTACATGCATACATACATACACGTACATACATCTTATCCTTTACTTCTTTATCTATAGAAGAGAGCTAATGACACCAGATACAATGTGGAAGTTAGTAATGATGCATTATACATATACACAGAGTACTTTAACTTTCTTAAAGGTCAAAGATCCTTTGAGTTCAAGAAGAATTATGTCAGGTTTCCTTTGAAAGTAATATACTTCAAAGTATTGGTTTGGTGTTTTTAAAACACAACTAAAAAAAAACCTAATAAGCTCAATTAAAAAAACCATTCATTAGAGAAATATATTTTAAAAACATAATGATATCATTGCCTACCCATTATAGTGGCTATAATTTAAAATTTATATAATATAAATTATATATAATTTTAAATACATATAATTATAATATATAATATACAATACTAAGTGTTGACAAGGATACAGAACAACTGATCCTTTGTATATTGTTGATGAGAATGTAAAATAGTACCATCACTCTGGGAAATAATTGGAAGTTCCTTATAAAGTTCAACATATAATTACCACATAATCCTTCTTCAACATCACTCTTTTAACCAAGAGAAATAAAAGTACATGTTCATACAAAAACATGTAAGTGCTAGACATGGTATCTTTATAATATTTCAAAACTAGAAATGACCAAATATCCAACAAGAAGTAGACAAATACATTGTGGTTTATCCATACAAAGGAATACTACTCAGTAAATGTGTGTGTGTGTGTGTGTGTGTGTGTGTGTGTGTGTGTGTGTGTGTGTGTGTGTGTGAAAGGAATGAACTGAATAGATTCACACAAATAAGCACCATTGATGTTAACAAAGGTAAAAAAGCAATTTACTGAAGGGAAAAAGATTAGCTTTCTTTATAAATAATACTGAAGCAATTAGAAATCTATAACAAAAAAAGAGAGGAGGAAGAGGTACAGGGAAGGGAAGGGGATGGGAAGAGATGAGAGAGGGGAGAAGAGAAGGGAGGAGGAGAGGGGACAGGAGAGAAAAAGGGAAGAGAAGGGGAAAGGAGGGGAGAGAGAAGAGGAGAGAGAAGGGAAGGGAAAGGGAGGGAAAGGGAGGAGAGAGGAGAGGGAACTTCAGCAGAGAAGGAGAGGGAATAAAAAAGGAGGAGAGGGGAGAAAGAGTGGGGAGGGGAGGGAAAAGGAGGGGAGGAAGGGAAGGAAGGGGAAGAGAAGAGAGGAGAGGAGAGGAGAACAGAGGAGAGGAGAGAAGGAGAGGGAGGGAAGAGGAGAGGAGAGGGAGGGGAGAGAACTTTGAACTAGGCATAATAACACACATCAGTGATCACAACACTTGGGAGACTGAGGCTGGAGGATCAAGAGTTTGAGATCAGCCAATGCTACATAGTGAGGTCAAGGTCAGGATATATGAGACCGCGTGTGGGTGTGCGCACACACACACATACACACACACAGAGAATAAAAACAAAGAACCTCTATCAAACCTTCATAGACTTAAACAGAAAATGACAGTTTTATTTTTAAAAACACACACATAGGAAGATCACAGTGCAGATTAGTTAGGCCAAAAGCATGAGACTCTACCTGAAAAAAAATAACAAAATCAATGGCTAGAGTAATGGTTGGAGTAGGAGTGCCTGCTTAGCAAGAACAAAGCTCTTGGTTCAAATCCAAGTATAAAAAGAGAGAGAAGGCAAAAGAGTGTGTGTGTGTGTGTGTGTGTGTGTATGACAGGGGCGGGGGGAGAGAGAAGGATGGGAGGAGGAAGAGGGAAGAAAGAGATGAAGAAAGAGAGGGAAAGATGGAGGGAGAGAGAGGGATCTCACATTTCTTTGGTCATCTCTTACCTGGTATACCTAGCTGGACAGGAAGCTGGGGAGTATGCTCTTTATACCAAAAAGACATGTGCTAGGATGAATATCAGAAATTCTATTAATAGTTAGGCCATACTTACATTTGTTTCTTCAAAGACTCTCAGTCTCTATCTTCTTGGTAAGTCTGAACAAGAAATCTGACTCATCTACAAAAAAATCTAAAACACATAACACTCATGAATTGATTCACATGTATTCAATAATTATAAGTGCTTTATTTTTACAGAAAATTGTGGTAGGTTCTAAATGGTTAGACAAAGATACACTACAAGGGGGAAAACTCATTATTAATAACACATAAAAACTGCAAAATTTTAAAGATGTCTTTTAAAATTTTTCTATAAAAGGGATCTGCCAGTAAGCATTTACATTTTGGCTTACAAAAATATTACACTGTTGACTTATAAACCTTTTATATGGTCACATTTTATAGAGTTGTAGATGATATTTGAATTTTAATTGCCTTTTTCAAATTGATATGTCTGTCCCCTGAATTGAGTAAATATTTAACAAAAGACATTCTCTTTTATTGTATTTATCCATAATTGGGTTAATTAAGTCTTGTTTCTCTTCTTCCGTAAGCCTTCTCTCATTTCATCCCTAACCAAATCTGTTAACTAGGGTTTTGCAAACAAATAAACATAAACAAAGGGCTGGGAAGGTGGCTCAGTGGTAGAGTGCTTGCCTTGCATGCCTGAGGCCCTGGGTTCGATTCCCCAGCACCACATAAGCAAAAAGAAAAAAGCCGGAAGTGGCACTATGGCTCAAGTGGTAGAGCGCTAGCCTTGAGCTGAAGAGCTGAGGGACAGCGCCCAGGCCCAGAGTTCAGGCCCCATGACCGAACCCAAAAAATAAAAAATAAAAAACCATAAATAAAAAAAAGTACTCCCTACCATTTCTGGTGTATTCATCATATGCATTTATCAGTGAATTTCACTTATCCATATTATCTATAAGTAGTAGGATTAGCAATTGCCCAAATGCTATGTTATTTTTTAATCCACTTACTTTATTATTCTTCCATCCAACCAATCTTTACCAATTACCTGCAGAGATAGCAATTATGTGTTTCCCTTCCCAAATGTGACTCTATTGTAGTCCAGCAGTGTCTCTTTTATTCTCATCCTTCCAGGACAAGCACTTTTGCTGGTATTCAAATTACTGTTCAAAGGGGCTGGGAAGGTGGCTCAGTGGTAGAGCGCTTGCCTTGCATGCATGAGGCCCTGGGTTCGATTCCTCAGCACCACATAAGCAAAAAGAAAAAAAAGCCGGAAGTGGCGCTGTGGTACAAGTGGTAGAGTGCTAGCCTTGAGCTGAAGAGCTGAGGGACAGCGCCCAGGCCCAGAGTTCAGGCTCCATGACTGGACCCAAAAAAAATAAAACCAAAAAACTCAAATTACTGTTCAATAAACATCTCTTCAAGAATTAATGAAAGAATGAATTTGACCTTTCCCAAGCCCAAATCCATTGGTATTTTGTTTTTCTAAAGACAAGGACTACAATGGATGGTAGCACTGAAAATTCTTCTGACATTCTAGATTCCCTGATCCTGATGTTATTTACTTACCCTCCTAGAAAGGCCCTGGAGATGTTTCTGAAAATAGTAGAATGTTCTAACCCAGGCCCTAGTATGGAAGGAGTTCTCTACTGTCTGTGCAGACGTAAGGATTTGCTATTCTTTCCTCTCAGGTCAAGTCTGACAATCACTTTCTTCCCAGTACTCTGACCTTCAGTTTACTCAATAGAACAAATTATATGTTTCTTTGTCAAGCAGCTAAGAGTTAATTTTCTTTCCAAAGCTTGACTTTCACACTGTTGTCAGTCTGTAGCCTCTCCTCAGCTTAACATCGTTAAACTCATTTATGCCACTTGTCTGCATAAACTACAGATACTTAGGATCACAAAGTCACAAAAAAGCAAGGGAATCTCTTCTTATAAATTGGTTAGCTAGAAACTTTGCTAAGTCATGGGTTAGGATCTTTTCTGCTGATCACTTATCAATGAATATACTCCTGCGATTTTTTTTTTAATTGCACAGGCCTGAAGCTTACCAACAGTATCAGCTGACTGAAAACAAAACAAAACAAAACAAAAAAACCAAAAATGTTTAACAAATAAACAAGGCATGAATTGTGTGAAAGTGAACCTTGTCAAAAACACATGTGATATGCCCAGAACAACCCCCAAAATAATGGGGTTTGTTTATATTTTCTATCAAGCCACTGAAATATCAAAATATTTAAGGAATGCCTGAGGACTTCATGGCTAAGAAATAGTGGGACCTCCTTCCAAAAAATATTTTTCTATTGAGAACAATTGTCAACTAGAATGCTGAAATTCTGCTATGAGGTCAAGGAAACATTTTTTTATCAGGTCCTAGGAAAACTACCAAAGACTCACACTGCACTTGATTCCTTCCCTTTCCAGATGACTGTTTTGCTAGAAAGAGGGGAAATAAGTTTTCTTTTATATAGGTGTGTGCATATGTATACACATACAATTTCTTATTGTATTTTAAACCCTTAATGAATTCCAAATGTTCACTGCTTATTCTTGAGTACTCAGGACCTAATCACAAGCCAAGAAGGGACACAGTCTTCTGACCTTAATGCTCCCAAGATTGCTTTTGGGATGATGTTACACATTGTTTCTGACTTGTAAATGGGTGTACTGAAACTGGGAGCTCCCAACTGCCTTTACCTCCCTCCCCCACCCCTCCCCTAGATATTGCCACATGTCGCACAGGTTAAGAAGACTTGGTAAAACCTACATTCTGATTCTAATTCTCTCCATATATCTCTCTTCCCCTTTTTCTCCCTCCCCCTACTACCTTTCTTGTCTTCTTGTTCTTTTTTCCCCCAATACTGGGGTTTGAATTTGAACTCAGGACTTCTACTTACTATGAAGGTGCTCTTCCATATAAACCAGTCCTTCTTGATTTAGTTGTGTTTTACAATGAGTCTCCAGCTATGTCTTAAGACCTATGAGACATAAGTTTCAAGACCTATGTCTCAAGCCAGGCACCAGTGGCTCACAATGGCTGTTATCCTAGTTACTCAGGAGGCTGAGATCAGAGGATCATGGTTTGAAACCAGCCTGGGAAGAAAAATCCGATGAGTCTCTTATCTCCAATTAACCAGAAAACCAGAAATAGCGCTCTGGCTCAAAGTAGTAGAGCACTAGCTTTGAGCAAAAGAGCTCAGGGACAGAGCCCCGGCTCTAAGTTCAGGTCCCACAACTGACAAATGGTGTAGCCTGGATTACAAATGTGGACTTCTATACCTGACTTGTTGAAATGAGGTCCCACTAACTTTTTTAAATTTTTATTTTTATTTTGTCGATCATCGGGCTTGAACTCTGGGGCCTGGGCACCAGAGCTCTTCAGCTCAAGGTGAGTGTTCTACCACTTGAGCCACAGCACCACTTCCAGTTTCCTGGTGGTTTACTGGAGATAAGAGTTTCATGGAGGGGGTTGGGGGGGAGGAAGGATTGGGACTGGGGGGGGGGGGAGGGGGGAGGCTGGGAAGGGATGTGAAGGGTAAACAAAGGAGGAGGCTGCAATGCTTGGTAAGAAATGTATGCATTATCCTGCCCATGTAATTGTAACCCCTCTGTATAGTATGTTCACAAATAAAATAAAATTAAAAAAAAGAGTTTCACGGACTTTCCTGCCCCAGCTGGCTTTCAACCATAATTCTCAGATCTCAGCCTCCTGAAAAACTAGAATTACAGGCATGAGCCACTGGTGCCCAGCCAGTCGAGATCCCACTAACTTTTTGCCTGAGATTGCCCTTGAACTGTGATCCCAATAATCTGTTTCCACCATTCTCAGACTTCTTTTTTGTACCGTAAGTATCTCTTATAGAAATGATTGCTAAGGGGCTGGGAAGGTGGCTCAGTGGTAGAGTGCTTGCCTTGCATGCCTGAGGCCCTGGGTTCAATTCCTCAGCACGACATAAGCAAAAAGAAAGAAGCAGGAAGTGGCGCTGTGGCTCAAGTGGCAGGCTCCACGACTGGACCCGAAAGAACAAAAAAAAAAGAAATGATTGCTAAATACAGACAAAATTTTATATTATGTTACCCAATAGAAATTTCCAAGAGGCTGGGAAGGTGGCTCAGTGGTAGAGCGCTTGCCTTGCATGCCTGAGGCCCTGGGTTCAATTCCCCAGCACCACATAAGAAAAAAGAAAAAAAAGCCAGAAGTGGCACTGTGGCTCAAGTGGTAGAGCGCTAGCCTTGAGCTGAAGAGCTGAGGGATAGCGCCCAGGCCCAGAGTTCAGGCCCCATGACTGGACCCCCCCCCCCCCCCAAAAAAAAAAAGAAATTTCCAAGAGCTCCTGATGCTTGACTCCAATTTAAGATCTCATCTTTACTTACAATATGTAATAATACAACATAGTGGGACTAAGCATGGTGGTATACATATAAAATACCAAGGAACTACTCAGGCAACAGAAGCAGGAGGATTCAAGTTTGAGGCTCATCCAGGCAAAAGCACAATACTCTACCTAAATAAATAAAACAAAAGAGAAAAATTGTTGGTATGGTTCAAGTGATACAGTACTTTCCCAGTAAATGCAAGACCCTGAATTCAAATATCATCATCAACACACACACACACACACATACACACAACTATACAATATAGTAAAAAATATCATTGACTTATCATTAACATTATGATGTTAAAATTATGCTAAAATTAGCTCACGCCTGTAATTGTAGCTACTCAGGGGGCTGAGATCAGAGGATCGGTGTTCAAAGCCAGCCTGGGCAGGAAAGACCGTGAGACTCTTATCTCCAGTAAACCATTCAGAAAACCAGAAGTGGTGCTGTGGCTCAAGGGGTAGAGCACTATCCTTGAGCTAAAGAGCAGAGTGACAGTGCTCAGGCCCAGAGTTCAAGCCCGAGGACTGACAAAAAGAAAAAAATTATGCTAAAATTATGTTAAAATTAGATTTCTTGCTGTATTTCCTTTTCTTATCAAAATATCATAGCCTCTAAAAAATTAAGAGCCAATCATTTGCAAGACTTGGGATGCAACTCCATTGATTAAATTATTAAAGCAGGCCAATCAAGAAATTCCTCACGAATACTTTGTTCTCAGAAAAAGAGCAGGATGTGGTGCAGTGGCTCAACTGGTAGAGCGCTTGCCTTGAGCTGAAGAGCTCAGGGACAGTGCCCAGGCCCAGAGTTCAAGCCCTATGACTGACCAAAAAAAAGAAAGAAAAAGAAAAAGAAGAGCAAAGTTGATAGGGGAAAAATTAAACTTTCAAGTCCCAGACACCTGAGAATGAGAAGAAATGATTACTTGAGCCCAAGATAAGAGACCAGTCTAAGTCATGAGACCCTATTTTTAAAAAAAAAAAATTTCCAAACTACTACTCAATTAGAATTTTTAAATCCCAGAAGTCACAACATAAGTACCAAGGCCTGGAAGACAACTGGTTATAAAATGTGATGGATAGTTCCTACTATCAAGAGCTGTAGATAATGTTGCATGCAGACACATGCTGACAGCCAACAGTATTGGAGTTTGTGAGTTTTTCATTTATCAGGGCTGATTAAAAAACCACCACAGATAGCCTCTGATTCTTTACAATATAAATTCCTCTCATTGGGGACAAGTGGACAATTGGGTCAGGGGAAGATCTTATCCTAGTGGCCACTCAGTAGGTGATGAATGGAAACATCTGTTGGATCTCAGAATTTTGGCAAGGGAGTAGATACTTGCTGCCTCCTGCAACTTTAGATCTATTCATTTTTCAAGAGGAAAGAGGCAAAGGAAATGTCATTATTTGGGGGAATTTCCCTCATTGACACATAGTTGAGAAACAATTACCCATAATTGAGAGCTATCAAAAATTCTAGAGCCGGGTGCCAGTGGCTCACATCTGTAACCTTAGCTACTCAGGAGGCTGAGATCTGAGGATTGCGGTTCAAAGTCAGCCCTGGCAGGAAAGTCTGTGTGACTCTAATCTCCAAGTAACCATCAGAAAATGGGAAGTGGGGCTGTGGCTCACGTACTTGCCTTGAGCTGGAGAGCTGAGGGACAGCGCCCAGCCCAGAGTTCAAGCCCCACAACCGACAAAAAAAAAATAAATAAATAAAAACTTCTAGAGTACAAGTAAGCAGAATATATACAAGCAAACAGAATATATTAAAAACTCCAAGGATGAGCATATCTGACAAAATTATTTACTATGGGAAAAGAAACCCTTAGAAAACCTCTATATCCTTAGCAGGAGAATGTAAAGAGTGTAAAGAAACTAAACATTTAACCATACAATGTTACATTGGAGGGAGTAAAGGAAAATTGACTCTGGTGATAACCAAATTAGCAATTTATAGGATGAATATTAGTTCTTTTCAGGGAGACTTCTTCACTTTTTCATGAAGATTTAGGACTCACAGTGGAGATTTCTCAAAACAATCCACCTTTATAGCTCTTTACTATACTATTAATTGAAATTATTGTCTGTCACTGCCCCTAGAATGTGATTTTTTAAGGAGGAACCATTATTTATCCATTATTGTAGTCTGGATCTAAAGTGTCCTGCCAAAGGCCCATGCATTAACGCTCAGAGCATGGCACTATTCCGAGGTGACAGAACCTTTAATACATGGGGCCTACTAGAAGATGGTCATGGAGGAGTTATCAGGAGCCATAATATTGTCTTCTTTTTCTCTTTGGGCCACGACAAGCCCAAAGTAACAGGGGCAATTGGCCATAATATGAAACCTCTTAAACTTTGAGACAAAGTAAATCTTCCTTCCTTTTAACCTTATCATCTCAGGTATTTTGTTATAGCAATGGAAAACTGATTAACTTAACCAATTTTATCTTCAACTCTCATCATAATCTCTGATTAGTGAACACTTATTTGGTACTTCAAGTAAGCATTATGCTCACCTTTGGTTCTCAGCTCCACCCACACCTGAGCTCCTCCTTGCCCTGGAGTTCAGCTGGCCCCTCCCTCTCTCTGCCCAAATCCACCTGAGATCCCATCTACCTCACTTCCTACCCTCAGACCCTGCTGCTAACTAGATAGTGGAGGCTGCCATGCGATCTCTCTTTGGGGCAAATATGGCTCCTCTAATAAACCTTGTAATAATCTCTCTCCTGTGCCTGCCTGCCTCTGCATGGTCCCCTGGGATGGATGTGATGGATCCTCTCACTTCATGAATACAGAGATGGAAAGCCAAAGTCTATTTGGCTTTCTTGTTTTTGAAATCATAATACTAAAAAAAGTTAATGACAATAGAATAAGGCTACATTCTGACACAAAGGGTAGAATTAGCAGGTATGTAAATAAAAAGCAATTTTAAAAACAAGACCAAGGAGTAGACAGAGGGATGAAGATAGTACCAATTAAAAGCAGCTAAGTTATAACACCATGAGAGAAAATGAGAGTAATGAGCAGAATGTTCCTTTTCTAAGGTCATTCTAGAGGTGACCAGAATACTTAGGAAAACTATCATTTTAACTGCCTTTTGTCACATTACTAATTTATCCATCTCACTTCATTAACTTTTTCTCTTCTATTTCTTGCCTACTTTTCACTATTTTGGATTTGCCAATGGCATGTTGACATAATAGTAATAGTTGTTGTAACAGAGAAACCTTAAATTTCAGTGGCTTTTTAACAGACGTTACTCAACAAACTCTATGGGATTGAAGAAGACCCTTTAAACTTTCAGGGACCCAGGTTCTTTTTCTGCTATGACCACATCCACCTCTAATGCCTTTGAGTGCTCTCCATTTAGCTGGCAAAAATGGATTGAACAGAGATTGGAACAGCAAGGATTTATGGACCAGACCAATGAGCAGAGCATATCATTTAGGTCATGTCCCTAATAATCAGTCTCAGAGCCACAGCTGCCTGGGCGGGAGAGTGGGCAATGGAGTCTGGCTGTGGCAATTATACAACATCTAGCCTGCATCTTTCAATAACTCCAGGTTAGCAACAGATAATCGGGACCTATAGCATTATATGTAGCCATCTCCTTTTCACTGATGGAATTGAGATTTTCTATGTCCAATTAGTAACCTAAAGTCACATATTTCACAATGACAAGCCAAGATTGGGCCCATGGACTATAAAACCCTCTACACTATGCTGTAGTCTTCAACTAACATTATGCTGAAGTGAGATGATAGCCTGACTGAACTGTAATTTCACATATATGATCACATGATTATATATCATCAATGAAGAGAAAAGTGAACCTCTCACTTGTGTGTGTGTTGGTCCTGAGGCTTGAACTCAAGGCCTAGGCACTGACCTTTTTTGCTCAAGGCTGGTTCTCTACGACTTGAGCCACAGGTTCACCTCAGGCTTTTTAGGTGGTTAACTGGACTATTTTGTGGACTTTCCTTCCTGGGCTAACTCTGAACCTCTATCCTAAAATCTCAGCCTCCTCAGTAGCTAAGATTACAGCTGTAAGCCACCAGCACCTGATGATTACTCTTTGGACAGTGGAGACATCCATCAGATATATCCACTTACAAAAATAAATATCCCTACATGTTAATGCAAAGAATGATGCTAATAAATATATCCATACACACACCTGCATGCAATTGCCCCAGCTAGAGTTAAGTGTTATGATGATCAATATTTTATTGCTGTGGATATTAGAGGCATAGAGGGGTTTGTCAACTAGATGAGGTAAGAGCTGAGCAGTGAAGAAAATAAAACAAGTCAGGCTGCTAGTCAGAGTTTCCAGTAGTTTCCCCAGAGTTCAAGTCCATAGGTTCTATTTATTGCTTTGTTTTTGCCAAGGGTTATTCCTTATTCCTTAAAAATGCTTTTACTTGGGGCTTTTGTGTCTTGCAGCCTCATTACACCTTTATTCTGATACAAGTTTGTAAAACTTACCAATACTTGTTTGAACGGTTTTTAAATGCCTTGCTACTTAAAAGCAAAAGAGGCAAAACCCTAAAGTATCTCTCTCCCAAAGCAAATCTGACTTCTGTAGAGAAATGCCTTAACTTCCTTTAAAACCAAAGGCATCTATATATATAGTTTAGACATTAAATAAAAACCAATTTCCTTTTTTAAAGATTTTATCCAGTATCTTTTATCAAATTCCTAGAGCCTACTACAAAACGGGAGACGACTAAAAAAAATAGCTTTTGTAATATTAGTCATTTTAGGTGAGTCACTCCCTGAAAGAATTTACTTGGAAGTCAAAGCAAGTTGACTTTAACATCTCAGAAATAAAACCTCGATCCATTTGTTCATCCCTTTAGCCTACTGTGAATCAGTGCTGAGGCGGAAACTGGGAGAAGTGGGGGCATAAACTGGGGGGGGGGGGGGGTAAACGCTGAAAGTGGACTGGTCCATTGCAAGTTCTGGGCCTATACTATCTAGCCCGCTGTCATTACAGGCCAAAGAAAAGAGAAGAAGAAAGGGATTTGTAAAAACAGTCTTGTGGTGCATCCATCTTAAGCTACAGTGAAACTGAACCTTCCAGACGGCCTGAGGCTGAATTCGGAGGTTCTTTTTGTCAGTCGTGCTCACGTTAGGACCCCCCCTCCCAACAGGTGCACAGTAAAGGCGCGTAGGGACCAAGGTGGAGTTGACCCCACAGAGGCAATCGGAGTTGCACGTAATGAACTAGACTCGGTGACTTCTGCAGGTCGCCCAAGCAGTTAACAGGGCGGACACTTCACCCTGACCGCCTCTCCTCCTCCCCTGGCCTGGCTCCCGTGCCCAGCCCCGCGGCCCTGTCCTACAGCCCGCTGGGCCCTGGGAGCGACGAGATCCCTCGAACCCGGCTTCCGCAAGACGAAATGCTCCCGGTTGGTGTGTGTAAAGCCGCGGCAGTGTGAGGCCGAGTGCACACGAGCCCGGGAGGATCGCTCAGTGCCCGGGCCCGTCTCTCCGCCTCCCTGCCCGCTGCGGTTCACACGGCCGGTCTCTCCCCAAAGGGACCACTTTCTTTCCGAAAGCCGCCACCGCTCCTTCCGGGCCACACCTCACCTCCCGCCGGCTCCGCCCGGCCCGTCGTCGCCCCCGCTGCGGCGCCCACCCATTGCCCCCTCGCGGCTGTCACTGCGCGTAGATTCCGAGCTCCGGATTGGACAGCCTCCCTGTCACTCAGCCGAGCTAGGGGGAGGGGCGGGGACGCCTCGCTCGCGGTTCCGAACCTTAAAAGGTTTAAGGCCGTTCCCCCCCCTCCCCTCCCCCGAGCCCGCAGGTAAAGCCGGACGGAGGGCAGGCGGGTGGGGCCACGCGCCAAGGTCGCCCCGCCCGGCCGTGGGGAGCAGCCGGTCCGTAGGAGCCCGAGGAGGCGCCGCGCCTTGGTCCCCACCCCAGGCCTGCTCACAATGCCCGAGCCGCGGAGCCGCTAGTCACCCGGCCTCGGCCGCCCAGGGGCGCAGTTGCCACCGCGGAGGGCGGGGCGGCCAGGCGGCGGGGACGGGGTGGGGTGATGTGAAAGGTCCCGGATGTGGCGGACCCAGAGCCCCTTCCAGAGGGAGTGACTGGCGCCGGCGCAGAAGTGAACGAAAGTGAAGGTGGGGGGGTGGTAGGGAAGAGGGCTCCTACCCCGAGGGCCGAAGGGAAACGAGAGCCCGCTGAGGCTGCCGGGGGAAGAGAGGGCGTGGAGGATACGAGGGGAAGGCGGACAACTGGGGTCGTGGCGGGGAGGAACACAAAGCAGCCTCCGACGCTGGCGCACCGGGGACTGGAGAAGTTGGGAGGTTAACGGGGCGGGGCGTCGGTGGCGAGCGAGGACGCGCGCTCCTCCGCTCGCCCTCTAGCGCGGGCGGGCGGGCGGGCAGGGAGCGCGCGCCGGGGAGCGGCGGTTGCACTGGGCCCCGAGAGCTGTGGGCACCAATCAACGGTTGCCATAGCAGCGCTTGACGTCATCGTGCGTGTGGTGCCCCTGCTGCCGGAGCTGGTGATTGGAGGAAACCCCGTGTCTGCGGAGCCGCTGTAGCCTGTGAGCTGCGAGATCCAGGGACAGAGTCTCAGCCTCGCCGCCGCTGCTGCCGCCGCCGCCCAGAGACCGCTGAACCCCCGTCCGTCCTCCGCCGCCCACTCGGGACACAGGTATGGAACCCGACCGCCGCCGCTCACCCCGCTCCCTCCTGCCCAAGCCAGCCTTCCGAGGGCCCCACTCGGCGTTCCGCCTCAGCCTGGTCGCCCGCCGCAGCGGTGCGGAGCCGAGGCGGAGTCTCCTCCGGCGGACACGGGCGGCGGCTCCTCTTCCGCTGGGCTCGGGCGGGCGCTTGCGGCCGCCTCCGGCTGTTCGCTTCCGGACCGACGCCCCGGTCCGGATCGGCGCCGGGTGCCGAGTCCCTCTCCCCGGGGATGGAGATGGCGCCCACGCGCGAGGGTCCCGAGGGTGGACGGGGCTCGGCCGGCCGCGATCGGCCCTCCCCCCCAGCCCTGCGGCCCCCCCAGCCCTCGTCCCCCGCGCCCCGCTTCCGCCCGAAATAATGCCTCGTCCGCGGCGGGCACTGCGGTGGCGCAGGTGAGGCCGCCCCCTCCCCGCGGCTGCCCTGCTAGCCCGCCTCCCCTCCCCCTCCCTCCGCGGCGCAGCCTCCGCGCCCCGCGCTGCGGCGGGGCCGCCCTCCCCCACCCCGGGCGGTGGCGGGCGGGGGGCCGCGGGGACCCGCGCGGGGGAGGACCTAGCCCGGAGCGGGGCGAGCGTGGGGCCGGCGGGCGGGCGGCGCGGCCAGGTAGAGCGGGGCGAGGCCGCGCCGTGGAGCCCGCTGCGGGGGAGGTGTGGGGTGGGGTTCGCGGGGGACCGAGGGGGCTCTGCTTCTGGGGGCCGTAGTGCGGGGGGAGACTTGGGTGTCCCCGGCGTGGGCGGGGGCCAGGCCCGGGGGAGGCCGGGGATGGGGAGTAGCAGCGCGGTGGGCGCCTCGCCCTCCCGGGTGGACCGGAGCTCCCGCGTCCGGGTGCTGGGTTCGGAGACGCCCATCCTGAGCTTCGCGGAGGTGAGCGGGACCGAACTGCCGCGGGAGGCCCCGCCGGGTTGGGTGTGGCCCGCCCCCCCCCCCCCCCCCGCGAGCTGCAGCTGTCGAGGCCCGGTGGGATCGGGATGGACACCCGCCGCGTCCGGTGGCGGGGAGCGCGGTGGGTGAGCGGGTGTGCGGCGGTGGCCTGGTGGCGGCTGGGCTTCTGCGGGCGGCGCAGGCGTCTCTGCCCCCGGGCGGGCGGCCCCCCCCTCGGACTAGGGCGGGGGCGCGGGCTGCTCCTCCCTCCTTCTGCGAGTGGGGGAGGCGTTTAACACTCAGCTGTAGGTTGGGCTCCTTGACACAGTTCCGCCATGACAAAGGGAGTCGGGGACTGGTGCGGAGGCACAAGCCTGGGCGGAGCCTGGGAAGGGAGGTGGTTGCTGATTGTGCGAACCGGAGGATTTGCGCTTGAAAGTCACGGTCTTCGGGAGATCGCTTTTCCCCCACGAACGTCTTAAGTCAGTTAAGAGTTAAGTGGGTGCGGTGAGAGTCTTCCCGCAAAGTGGAGGGAGGCTGGGGAGCTCTAATTCTGTGAGAAACCGAATCCACTTCCCCTTTCTACCCTAGAGGTTGGCGAGGGAAACCTTTGTCCTGGTTTACAATGTTTAAAGTCATTTTTTCAGCAGAAGCAACATTAACTAGATAGGGTTCTTTAGTTCCTAGAGAGAAAATTTGTAATTTCGAGACCCAGAATGACATACTACATCATTCAGTTTAAGTTTATGCTTTTATTACTTATGTGTTTTAAAGAAGTGTTTGAGGACTTTCTGGAAAGGTAAAGATGATGCGGATACTGAGAAATCAATTCCCACCATGGGTGGCTGTGGTTCTTCTGTCCATCTTTCAATTTAGTAGTGCCTTTTAGGATATGCATTCCACTATCCCTTATATGTCATCACTATGGTTTAGCAATCATTCACTTTTCAGAAGATAAAGTCTAGGGAACTTTAGATGAGGAAGGTGAATTAAGTGGGAAGACAGGACTTGGGTGCTATACTCAAATAAGTTGTGACAGTGAAGAGACAAAAACCCAAATGACATAATGAATACTGAAGGATGCTTCCAGTGTGACATATATTTTAGTGTACATAGATACTTAGACTCAATTCTAAGAAGCAATTTGATTGTTTTCCCCAGAAAATTATCATGTTATGATAAGCTGGCCAAGCTGGCCAGAGATCTGGTAGATTTAGGGTGGGTGTGGGGGGCAATGCCATTTGTAATACCCCTGACAAGAGTTTTAAGACTGTTAAAAGACATGAATTACATCAAACTGACATATGACTTATGATCCTGGAAGTGTGATGAGGATTTAATTGTTCTTTATGGGCATTGTTTTTACTGAAGGAAGGAAGGGAAGGCTGCATAAGTTTGGGTCACTTGGTGATACTGAAAACAAGGTAGTTCATTTATCCAAAAGTGCTTTGACCTTATGTCAGTTAGGATCTTCTAAACAGATAAGGTAATGCAATTTCAGCTTTGCTAAACAAATGTTAATGACTATACATATGCTATTTCAATTTTTTATTTTGATATCCTTTTGGAAGGCTACATTTTATATTCCTCGTGACAACTTGACAGGTAGTAATTTACCAGGTTTGCAATGGTAATGTAGCTGATTTACAACAAGTATGGGTTTAAGTATGTGTGTTTTTGTGGGATTTTTTTCTAAATATTCCTTTTTTTTTTTTTTTTTTGCTCCCTGCAGAACATCCAGTCATGGATAAAAATGAGCTGGTGCAGAAGGCCAAACTGGCCGAGCAGGCTGAGCGATATGATGACATGGCAGCCTGCATGAAGTCTGTAACTGAGCAAGGAGGTGAATTATCTAATGAGGAAAGGAATCTTCTCTCAGTTGCTTACAAAAATGTTGTAGGAGCCCGTAGGTCATCTTGGAGAGTCGTTTCAAGTATTGAGCAAAAAACGGAAGGTGCTGAGAAAAAACAGCAGATGGCCCGAGAATACAGAGAGAAAATTGAGACCGAGCTAAGAGATATCTGCAATGATGTACTGGTGAGAATCGTTTGTTCTTGCTTCATTATAACATAGGGTTCTTATAACTAATATCAGTTACATCTTTTTCTGGGCTTTTCTTTTTCTTCTAAAAACCTGTAAATATAAGAGTCTTCGGGTATTACTACTTGAAGATGTTGAAACAATGGTAGGTAGTTTCTATAAAATAAATGAAGGGGCTGGGAAGGTAGCTCAGTTGTAGAGTGCTTGCCTTGCATGCATGAGGCCCTGGGTTTGATTCCTCAGCACCACATAAGCAGAAAAAGCCAGTAGTAGTGCTGTGGCTCCAGTGGTAGACCTGAAGAGCTGAGGGACAGCTCCCAGGCCCAGGGTTCAGCCCCCATGACTGACAAATAAGTAAATAAAGCAACAATTATCAAACAGTGCGGTTTTGCTAAAAAATACCAATAGACAGTGGTATAACTAGTATTAATCAAAAAGATAAACCTGATTGTATTAACATTGCAATAGTTAGAATTATCTGTATTATTGAGCTAAAGTTGTTATAAAAATGCATACAGATGTAAGAATTTTACACATACTGCTTCATATAAGGAGTGTAGTAGGAAACTGGTTGTAAACGCTTGCCAGTTAGCCACTACAGAGTTAATGCAGTGAATTGGTTATGGGGAAAACCTTGGTTTCATAGTTGTTTCTTTTTTTTTTTTTCATTTAAGTATTGCTAGCTAACATTGACAACTAGAGTGAAAGGTTGGTTATGAATAATTCACACTTGATTTTTCCAGGTTCAAGAGGAATTTTAAGTATTTAGCACCTAGTGTTGAGGTATTGTGCTTTCCCCCAAAGATTAAAAGAAATAAACATTATGTTTTGGTTAATATTAATATTCTCTTACAAATTAGAGCTTTTTGATGCAGAAAGAATTCAAGTATAATCCAGTAGAAAATCTTAACCAGTTAACATCTATCTTTATAAACATGAATATTTTTCCTTTCTTAATGAACCAGGAGTTTTTGTGGAATAATGTGTTGCTAAGTGATTACACTAACACTTGTAGGTGTACATTGGCTTGGTATATTGTGGGACTCTGTATTCAAAACTGGCTGTTATTTCTCTGGACAGGGTTCTGAATCTGGAACTCAGTATGCAAAGTCAAGGTGCAATATTTAACACTTGAACTTCGTTCATGGAAGAGCTAATGCAGAATTATTTCTGGGCTGGGAAGTTGCCTTAGTGGTAGAGCGCTTGCCTTGCATGCCTGAGGCCCTGGGTTCAATTCCTCAGCACCACATAAGCAAAAGAAAAAACCCGGAAGTGGCGCTGTGACTCAAGTGGTAGAGTGCTATCCTTGAGCTGAAGAGCTGAGGGACAGTGCCCAGGCCCAGAGTTCAGGCCCCACGACTGGACCCTCCCCCTCCCCCCCCCAAAAAAAATCTGACTTGGGCTGGGAAGGTGGCTCAGTGGTAGAGCGCTTGCCTTGCGTGCCTGAGGCCCTGGGTTCGATTCCTCAGTACCACATAAGCCCTATGACTGGATCCCCCCCCCATAAAAAAAAAAAAAGAATTATTTCTGATGTGGTGTATTTGTGTGTGTGTGTGTGTGTGTGTGAGAGAGAGAGAGATAGAGAAAGAGAGAGAGGGACTTGGGGTTTGAACTCAAGGGACTAGAGCTATTCCTGGGCTTTTTTGCTCAAGGCTAGCTTGCAGCTCCACTTCTGGACTCGTTTTGGTGATTACTTGGCCATAAGAGTCCCACAAACTTTACTTACTCAGGTCTCAGCCCCCTGAATAACTAGAATTACAGGCATAAGCTACCAGCACCTAGCTTGATGGTGGGTTTAAAGTTGTAATGATACGGATTCCACACAAGACTTTAGTAATAGGAAAAGTGATGTTGGTTTTTTATCCTAATTAAAGTGGGCTGCAAAATCTTACATGGCATCTTTCATGTATGCATTTTGTTGTTTGCTTTTTGAAATTTTTTCTATAACTATAATTTCTAAGATAAATATTGTGCCTTATTGAAACTAAATGATACACCTAATGTGTTAGCTGAGACAGTTAAAATTTAAAATTTGAAAATGTTGGCTTTTTTATTTTCTTACTAGCCAATATCATCTAAGTATTTGTTAATAAATTGTGTTTGCCTTGGTATTTTTCCCCCAAAGTACTAATTATTTTGGTTTTGAAGAACATATTCCAAGATATAATTACCTATAAGATAAAAATCAATTTTAGGAATAAAAGGGGTTTTGGTAACATTTACCTTCCACTGACAAGTTTATTTGCAATGTCAGGTAGGTATTTGCCTGTGTATACACTCACACAGAGTATACAAAAAGTACTTATTTGTTAAAATTTCCTAGGAAAAAGTTTTAATTCTATCTTTCCCTGGTTTCCCAATCAAGAAAAAAAAATTGAGTTGAAGCAATAGATGAAGAAGATGAGAACTGTTAGATGAATCTTTCAATCATCTTTTAAGATTATCAAGGGTCTCTATACTTGTTACTGCCTGTTTCTCTTCACTTTGTCTTTTTGCAAGTCTGAGTGAAAGTTTTGTTTGAAGATTTTGTTCCTTTGCTATATAAGTGGCTTTTCTTTCCAGCTTAGGTCTTTCCAAAGCAAGTCTGACCTTTTCATGGTTCTAATGTTCTATATGCTAAGTATTTTACGTAATATAATTAGCTCAGTAGTACTACTGATTTTCCAAGGCTTTCAACTTGAGAAAACTCAAATGTTTATATAGCTTGATATTATATATATGGCTTCCCTACCATGTTTTTCAGAGATACTGACTTGGAAATATCTTGCATGAAATTCCTTTTCCTCTTTCTAGTAAAATTCAGTAGAACTAATAATTGTTACATTTAAAAAAAAAAAAAAACAAAACTTCTTGCCGGGTGCTGGTGGCTCACACCTTTAATCCTAGCTACTCAGGAGGCTGAGATCTGAGGATCGTGGTTCAAAGCCAGCCTGGGCAGGAAAGTCCATGAGACTCTTATCTCTAATAAACCACTCAGAAAACCAGAAGTGGCACTGTGGCTCAAGTAGTAGAGCACTAGCCTTGAGCTGAAGAGCTGAGCAACAGCGCCCAGGCCAGAGTTCAAGCCCCATAACTGACAAAAAAAAAAACTTCTTGAGCCATCGTACTTGATGACTAATTTTTAAAGGAAATAGGTAATTCTTTTGCAGAACTAGTTGTTGACTGTAGCATTGGTGATGAACCAAACACTAATCATTGCATTATCCTTGCTAAGAAAAATATTTCTTTTAAAAAAGCAGCATAATTGCCAGAATTCTTAGTTTTCCTCATAAGCTCTTCTGATTATATCTGATTATATTTATCAAGTGTTTGTTTTTTGCCATTTAAGAAGCAGACAAAAAGGGGCATTGTTACTTTATAGGTGTTAGAGAACATTCTTATGAGAATACTGATGGTGGCATACTCTTCACAATATGAACTTTTCCTTATGCAAAAGGACTTGAGGCTCTTTGTTAATTGAAATTATGTATAAAACGAATACAGTTGTATCTTTCCTGCCAGGTGCTTAGACCAAATTTACTAACTGTAGTGATACCTAAAAGTTATACATGGATCCAAAACATGTAGCCAAGAATGCGGAGTGGTAATGAAATGAAAATCAAAAAGAGGGAATATATAGGAGAAAACTGAAAATTAACTTAAATAAGTGCACTGTGGTATAAAAAGAACTCAATATTTTGAGACAAACCACAGTTTGAAATTACTCAATTCCTCTGAGAAAACTGATTTCATTTAAATAAAAATGATACCCATACCCCTAATGTTGAGGAAAATGAGAATCAGATAAAAGGTACCTTGTGTGCTGTTGATGTGTTTTAAAAGAAATTATGAGCCTGCCAGAATTCTAAGAGTATGTGTGTTAGTGTTTCAGTGAGGCAGAATTCATGCCATCAGATTTTCAGATGTTTTCGTTGAATTTGAAAACCATGTCTGTCTAATAAAGCAAAGAAAGAATGGTTTCCTTTCCTTATAAGGGCCTCAGACAGGAAGCAGTAAAATTATGTATTTAACACTTGTAATAGTTGATAGCAGTAGTTGAGCAGTCAACTACTGTAATCATGATTCAGTTAATTTAACCAAGTTGTATTTGATTATGCTGTTCTACATTTTATTTGCCTGGAACAGTTTTAAGATGTGGTTCCTGGGCACTGATTTTAATCTCCGGCCCACAGAGCTGCTATTAAGCAGAAACAGGAGCAAGACAGGAAAGCATGCATCTTTTGGGTCTTTGTTAGTTTTGACATTCTTGTCAATATGTTCCTTGAGCTTTTAAAAACTGCAATATAGAATTAATTTTTAGGCTGACAAATTGCTAGGCAGCTCATTTTTTGGAATAGGGACTTCTTCAAAGAATTCTGTGTTGAAAAGGGATGACAGTGGTCAAGATGCATTATATTGATAAACAGCTTTGTTAAATGGCAACTCTTGTACAACTACTTAAAAAAATTTTTTTAATGGTGAGGGGAAAGTATTCTGCAGTGCCAGATAAATATTTACATGGTTTTGTCATTTATGGCTTTTGATATGTCATTAACACCTAAGAACTTAGGTGGCATTAGTAAATAGCTACAGAGCCTTCTAGAAATGAGTAAGCTGGACATTTTTTTAACACTTTAGTAGTCATTTTAAGTATTAAGTGTTAAACATTAAGCATTCAGTGAGGTATGTTAAACAGTGGGGAGGTCTGAGGTATATGAAGTAAGCTGAATGGAAAGGTAGGAGTTTCTTGTTTGGCTGGATGGAGAATAACCGCCAGTAACTTGATCAAGAGCAGCAGGTTGGTTACCTATCGTTTTTCAGTAAGCAATACTTAAATAAGAACAGAGTCCTAGATAGGACTTTAGTAAGAGATGGTTGACATGAAGATGTTTTGTGATGAAGTGAGTTGTGAAAATAAGAGTGAACTAAGGAAAAGATGAAAGGACTGAAATTAAAATGAAACACTTGAGGAAAGTCTCAAAAGTATAAGAACATAAATACTTAGGAAATAATGTTTA